ACTAAAATGATTTAAGTTATTTAGAGCCAGCCTGAACTTGGCTTTTCTGACTTTTCTGCTTGCAAGGGCGCTCCGGCATAGCGGTGCTTCGTGGGTGGGGTTCACCGAGCCCCCCGACGGCGTTCAAACCAACGTTTTGTTTTTAAATTCTGTGTTTTGCTGCGGTTTGCACCTCATTTTTTACCCTGAAGACGTTTCCTGGCCGGCTCAGTAGTGGGTAGAACATTCTCCCGAGGAGGCTGTCCAGCTCTGCATGCAAGAAGGGGCCGTTTGCACATCCCATGCAACCACAAGTGATTTTAACGCCGTTTGGCAGCATCTCCCAGGGAAAAGCCCAGAATTAAGTGAAATGGAGACAAAATTGGACTTTCAGTAGGTGGTATGGGCAGAATTCAGATGTTTGGTAAAGCAGAATAAACATTATCCCACATACCTGATGGTGCTACGCATAAAATGAGCCTTAGCCCCTTAAACAGCGAAGATGCTTGCTCCGTTTCCAACAATTTTTTATTTCGCATTTAATGCACGTTTCATGGTTCACATACTTGCAAATGGATTTTTGAGCCTGATATCGGCTGCTTTCCACACTGGAGTCAAGCGCATCCTAAAATAACCCCTTTATATCGGAGAGCGTTAGACTGGAGGGACTAACCAGTCACACTATAAACAAGTCGGGACGCTGTCCGTCTGGAAGGAGAGAGGGAATCCGGGAACAGGAAAATACCTGCGGCGTTTGCAGAGCTACTGTAAGGGTATAATCTCCTGCCTCCAGGTGCACAAGCAGGAGGAACTCTTAAAAAATTAACAATTGCATAATTTCATTAAAATAGAAGCCCTGCAAAACCCATAAGCTGTTTTGAAGGGCTCCTCATATCAATAACTGACAACTGTATATCAATAATATACAAATATATATTAAGAGCATATATTACCCTAAATTATATCTTTTTTTTTTACCCTAAATTATATCTTTTAACATGGCTTTGAGCTTTGTCCTGCGGCGTTTGCAACCCAGCCCTGTCTGAGCGCCTGAGAACCAGGGGTGCAGGGGGGGAAAGCAGAAAAACTACCTAATGGAAACCAGATTTAAATAAATGCAATGACATAATGTGTACGGTTCTTGGCAAGAAAAGAGCAAGTTTGTGCTTTTCATATCCGCTTTTTCAATAAGCTGTAAGTCTCCCTTTTAAGAAATGGTTATAACAAACAGTCCTCATTCCTCTCCTATTAAAGTCAGCAGCAGACATCCACTCGGCTTCCACCAAAGCGCCCAGCTGAAGCACTGCCACCTCGCACAAACTAAGCCTCGCCCAGTAATGTTTTTCTCCTACCTCCAGCTGATATTTGGTATTAAGAAACTCAGCCTTCTTTTAAAAAAGGTGGCGGTGTGAGTGCCAGCGTGCGTGGGAAGCTCTAGACCTCCCCATCACACAGAAAACCTTGGAAATTTATACTCTAAAAATTGAAAACACTAAGGAAAAAGTGCCTAATCCGTTCATCTTGTTATTTCTAAGATGAGGCTCAAGGTAGAAGAGAGAACTGAGACAATCCATAGTTTTGAATTGCCCAGGACTGACAATATTGTTATTGGATATTAGGATTCTTCCGCTCCTTTTGCAGCGGAGCAATAAAAATGCGTATTTGGCACAATTCCTTTAGACACACTTGGAAATAAAATCTGTGTTATTTTACACCAGATGTACAGGACACAGAAAAATAAACACGAGATAATGGGAAGCTCCAACGTTTGGTATTTAAAGGAAAGACAACCCAGAGCGACGTCTGTATATTATTTAATAGCATCATTATATTATCCTGTTACAGTTTTTTCACACACTGTAAAATACTCTATGGTAACTATATTTAAAAAATCCTAATTGAAAAGAGGAACACTCTGTGACAGCAGAAATAACTCAAGGGAACACGGAAAGGCTGTTTCAATTGCCAAGTGCCATCTATCCATCTAAACTCATGATACACCACATTCAGCCCTTCGTTTGCAGCAAAATCAGCAATCCAGAGCTGGCATAGCGCACGTTTCCCAATCATTCCCGCTGACACCCCAACTTATTGGCAACACAGCACGTCCCGGGGGGATTGCTCCGGTCTTAAATTGGTCAGAACTTGCTCTATGCCCTAAACCATGAGGATTTAGAGAGCTTCCAACCAGGATAAACGCAAGCAGCAGGAAGGAGAGGGTTGGGTAGCGCTTCCCAACTGCATCGCACCTCCGCAAAGCTGCGTATCGGCATCCCAGCTCTCAGGGCAGAGGTGAATTAAGCAAAAGCTTCATCATCCCGAACTCTGAAGGAGTTCGGAGACTTGCATCCGTGCATCGGGCAACACGGAGAAGGGCGGGATGCGTGGCCCAAGCACAGCTTCCCCGTGGAGCAATCAATCCGCCTACGGCGAGACGAAGCGGGGCAAAGGCCCAGATCCGCTCTATTTACTCTGGCAAGACTCCTCGCTGCGAACGGTGGGAGTTTTGCCTGAATAAACGCGATTTAGGGCCCAAGCAGAGCTGAGATAAGAGCCCACATGCGAGATCCCTTCCTGCAAGCGTGCAGCAGAGATCGAGGTTACCTTCCTCTTCCTCTCGGGACGTGACCATGCGTGGGCGGATGCATGTCTCTGCCTTTCTTATCTGGTAAGGCACTTCTGATACCAAGTCCTCCCCGGCGTTAGCAAAACAGCACCGACGCCTGCGCTACGTCACCGCCGACATCTCGTGCAAAGGCTGAGTTTCGCAGGAGAGCGACTGGCGCAAGCCAGACAAAGCGGTTTTGTGGCAGGAGCTCGGGAGTGACTTCCCACCCGGACAGGAGTCTGGGCAGTTTTCCCACTGGCCGGGAGAAGCCAAGATTTCATCTGAAGATTTCACCCTGGAAGCCCTACCTCCCCTCTTCCCACCGCCTGCAGCATTTTAGGAGTCACAGCGCACGGAGGAGGAGGAGGAGGGATTCGCAGACACATCCCAGCGGTCCCACTCCCCAGACCCACTCACCCACCCTGCCCTGGGGAGGGGGCGGCTGCATTCGGACCCTTCAGCCCCTCAAAGGAGAGCCCACGGCAGCGGCGGTTTGCTGGGGACTGGCACCTCTTCCCACGCCAGCGGGAAGCGGCAGCGCTGGCACACGAGGGCCCTTTGACGAGTTACAAGAAAGGAGCTCTTTAATCCCCAGTGTTTATGTAAACGTGGCTTTAACTTTAAACCTCTCGGCTTTGTGGCT